CCCCAATTGCAAAATCACTCAAGTAACAGAACCAGCTAATATCAATATGGAATATGTCTCACAAAGTATCAATGGCGTATGTATTTAGTATGTTTAAAAAATATACATATTTTACATACGTGATATATGATCCCATTATCCCGTGAACGTTCCTTTGTTCCATACCTCCACTAAGCTATCCGCCATCAAATCAAATGGTTCGGATTGATTTCAGTCCCATACACCCTCCGATCGTGGCTTAAAATCTCCCATAAAAAAATGGTAAAAGGGGGATGCTAGGACATCCCAAGGGTTTATGTTGGTTGTTATGGTTTTTAGGTTTGTGTTCAATGTTTCTTCCTTATCTTTGATGTTTTATGTGGTCGGGGTTTTGGGACTATTTTGCCCCTAACTTTCACTGTTGATGTTTGGATTGAATGAGGGTAGGATTTGTTTAGGTTGTTGGGGTTTTGTGTTTGGGTTTGGGTGGGTGATTACTTCATAATATGTTTTGTTAAGATATTATGAATTAATTGTTTTATGTTTTCCACTTTCCTATTCCATCCCACCAGTGTTCAATTATCCTGACTTGACTTGTGATAGTTGGCTCGTCTGTATCATCTAAAATTAGTTCATCTATTGCTAATGCTAATAGAGTTTGATTTATTGCCATAGCATCCCATTTTCCATCACGGTTAAGTTCCTTACCACATTCAACGATAATTGTTTTGTTAGTGAGGTTTTCATACATGTTTTTTATAATGTCAAATCTCATAAGCGAAAAAATTATCATTCCATTTATTCCTTGGTCGTTTTTCAGCCTATCAATTACTTTAAACCACCACTATTCTCCTTCCTCATCATCTGGTGAAGGCATAGGATGACACTTTACAAAGTCTCTAATCTCTTCATCTTCTTTTAATGCTTGTCTATCACATTCGTGTTCATCTTCGCTTTCACTACCAAAGTCAGCATATATACCGACATTATCTCTATCTATAACCTGAATTTTTGTTTTACTCATTTTCTCTTATTATATATAGTTATTTTTTCTTTAAGTCTTTACCGGACTTGAGCCTTTAGCATCCCAGTCGTCTAGTATGCTATTCATATTGGATAATCATGTGCGACCTTATATTTTAAGATGGACGGTGTGTTTTCTATCACAACCCCTTCGTTCCCCGCCCAAAAAACTAACTTTTGTATCTATGTAAAACCAAGACAAGAGAAAATCCAATTTCCTCCAAACAAAAAACACATAACCTTTTTTTAATCCCCGAGGAGGTCAACACTCCGCTCCTCCGCACGTTTTCTGACAGGGTGAATGCAAGCGACTGGATGCATGTATATCATCATGGTGTAGGTAAATAGATGTATTTTTGTGTGAATTACTGTAAAATAGCTATAACATTGTATATGTGGTCTTTGTGTGAAACCCCCATCTCCACTTCAAACTTAAAAGTTCTATCTCAATCCTTCTCCACTTCTACCCTTCAGAGTTCTCGCAACACACCTTTTGGAAATCAAAGCCGATGATGACTTCATGACCTCAGATGGGCTTGTGGGATATTGAGTTGCGCTTTGAAAATGGGAGACCAAAAACATAAAATGAAGAGTTCTCGTTGTGTATGGTTGTGTTTGTCATCCTTGTCAAGTGATGGTTGTCTCAATGTATCGCTTCAAAAACTGTCCACAGCGAAGCCAAACACCCTTTTTCCATCCTACGAAGGTCTCTGAATGTGTTGATGCCCTGTTCATTTGGCAATGCAACACCGGCAAATCAAAAAGGGTGAACATGACATCAGTGTCTTCGGCTTTGTCAGGACACTTCTTATGCAACATTGACTTCAGAGCACCACACCGCTTTTTTTGCCCCAGTCAGAAAGTCATTCAGTGACGAGGTCAATCAAGCATTCGGCACGGTTGGTCAGAACGTCCCGCTGCTCCCGAAGGAAAAGTCAAGTTTCCATACGGCACTCGGGGAAAGTTGAAGTTTGGGAAAAATGAAGTTTCCCAGTGGGAAAGTTCTTGAAGTTCATGGGAAAATGGGGTGGGAAGCGCTCCACTCCAACCCTGTCCTCAAGGTGCTTAGTCAAAATCATCACCAAGCCAAGTTAGGAGTTGTTGCAAGCCGCCTAATATGTCTCTTGCTGCGTCTCCTGCCACTACTTGAGCTACTCGCGCATCCACAATGGGACTGTTGCAATTTGGAGCGAGAAGAATGCCAATTACTGATTTTACCGGCGATTCCGCATTCTGCACCGTGTGCTTCACTGCATTCACATTCTGGGCAATATTTGAAGCCTTTTCGTTGCAGGTTTCTGCCTTCGTAGCTCCAGTCACATCCAAGAGCACCTGCCAAGTTACAAAACATACAAACACATGCAAACAAAGACTGAAATGACGGGATACTGTGTGTTTGCAACACATTCAGCGTTCCAACTGAGCTCCGGACTAATTCATCTGCTTCGGTCTTGAACCAAATGTCGAAGCCTTTGTGCGTGCCAGCCGTGCCACCTTCTGAAAGCGCGTGATACATGACACCATCCTCTATGCAGCGGATACCATCAATGCAGGGGTCTCCCTTCTTTGTGAAGACTCTTGCGTTCTTCCCATCGACTTGTTGCAATCCGTCTCGTATGTCCTTGCATTGAAACTTATATTTGCGAGGCTTGCTCACAAATTTAAAGCCGTTCTGTTCCTTAGCCGCTTTGCAGGCAAGAGCCCACAAATAAGCTTGCTCTAAAAGCATACCGTCACACCAACTCCCAGATTCCATCAGAGACGAGCAGAATACTTCTTGGGCTTTGTCAAAGACTGACGATGCTTTATCCCTGGCATCTTGAACTGCCATCAACCTCTCCAGCGAAAGAGTCAGCTTCCGGTTGTCCAACGAGATCACTCCTGGATACCTTCTGTCCTCTGCCCGGGCATCTTTTATGCCCAACAACAAGTCCACTGCTCCTGAGACCTGTTCATCTAGATCTGGCAAAGCGACGCTAAAACTTCCAAGAGCTCCAATGAGCTTGCTCTCCAGGTTTCCCTCTCTGTCAAGCTGGTCCTGGATGTTTCTGAAAGTTCTGCGCAGGTCGCTCTTCTCATCCTGTGGAATGTGGAGCTGGTCAAGACCAATGTGCACAAGGAAAAGGCTTAGCTTGACTCGCAAAGTTGCGAGCAATCGTTCTTCCTTGCCACCCCAGCCTTCGGCAGGAAGTTTGATTTTCGGCAATCCTGCTGCAGTGGCAGGTGCAGCATCTGAAGCGTCCCTGGTCAGCAAGGGACTCACATCTACTAGCATCATGGCAATTGGAAAGCGGCAAACCTGCGACGAACCCTGTGCGGCTAAATCCGGTGGTTCGAGGTAGGTGGCAATCACCTGACACATCTGTGGAAGTGAGCCAGCCAAAAGCAGTGCTCCTCGCCTGAATTCAGGAGATGTGCTCATAGAGCGGTGCTCGTCGATGTGGAGGAGAAGGCGGTTGCTGGCGTTTCTTTGCAGGAACTTCTCCATCTCCTCCTGGAATTTAGCTTCTGTATCTGCAAGGTCTGGTATTTGTGAAGGGAGACTCCATGTTGAACTCCGAGAATAAGTTCCATTCATCTGCATCCTGAAGCAATGCAGCATGAAGTCAGCACCAGCCCGCTCCAGTTCATCCGTCTCCAAGCTACGCGGCGCTGGGCTGTGACCTCGTGCAAACATGAAACACATGAACGTCCCGACAGAAAGTGGACAAAGGAAAGCAAAAGGAAGCACACTGCCAATTAAAATGCAGGCTGGTTGCGATTCCGACCGTTATTGGCAAATGGCATGTAGAGGTAGTGGGTGAAACACTGCTTAGTCCCCAGTTCCACACTTCGACAGAATATCGGCAGGATGGCGGCAGACTTGCCACGCTTGGTTGGAGCCGAAAGGTAAGCCACTCGGTCTCTATCCTTGTTCGCATGTTCCAAGCGGCTGACTGCGACATCTAACTCTTTACCCCTACACAAATAGGGTTGTGAGTAGAGCTTGCTGACTCCATCTGTGCCTTCTCTCACTGGTAGGGATGCTTCATAACTCTCCCATGTCTCCAGCAGCGGGATGTTTGCCGTTTTCATATTGGTCTCAAAGGCATCGTTTGTCCTCTGAGCCAAGCAATCAGCGCCACCAGGTACTTCGTTCCACCAGTTTGACGGGCGACAGCGACCGGTGGTTTTGCCCGTACCAAACCCCCGTTTCCACGGGTCAAGACCAGCAAAGTCCTGCGATGAACAAATAGAGTTGCACGCAATCCAAAGCAGTAAGGCTCTCACAAGAAGGCATGACTGCCGACGCAATGGAACTTGACGACCCCCCATGGCACAGTCTGAACTTGAAACAGAAGTGCTACTTTGCTGCCGAACTTGAGCGCAGAGCCGGTTCCATGTCTTCTGTTTTTGATTTGCTCTTGCGCTGCTCGTTTCAACACTAGTTGTCTTGGCACAAATTCAGACTATCCGGGCCGCCCGACATTTGAAGCAAGAAGTCGAAGACCACAAAGCCGGTGTTGAGTAGAGAAAGCTCCAAGACAAACCATTTTCGAAAAAACACGACAGCAACAACAAATCTCCCCCTCATCTGAAACCAAACAATGAAGTGAAAGTTCGGGCAAAAAAGTCCCAAAATGCCCATAGGCAAAAAAAAATCAAAGGTAAAGATGAAACATTGAACAATAACAAGAAACCATAACAACCAACAATGAATGCTGGGATGTCCTAGCATCCCCCTTTTACCATTTTTTCCCATTTACTTTGATGAGTTTCCCAGCAAACTAAACCTCCATTTCCAGAGGATTTTTCATTCCCAGAGGCTACCCTCTGGTAAACTAACATAACTATGGAAAATCACCATTTTTAATGGGAAAACTCACTATTTCTATGGCCATTTTCAATAGCTATGTTAAATTCCCAGAGGATATATCCCATTAAATCCCATTAAATCCCATTAATCACCATTAAATCACCATTTTCCTATGGTTTTCCTAGAGGATTTTTGCCCACCTTCACTTGGACCAGGTCATCAGCTGTGAGATGCGCCGGGAACGGCGCTTGGGCCGTGCAGGCCTTGGACCAGGTCTTGTGAAAAGGAGCCCATGGGATGGTCCCAGAGTTGATATCCACTTCATATATTAATAGTGGTATATAGTGGATATATATATATATACATTACATTACATTACATTACTTTACATTACATTACATTACATTACATTACATAACATACATACATTACATTACATTACATTACATACATACATACATACATATATATATATATATTATATATATTATATTTTATTATATATATAGTGGATATAGTGATATCACTATTGATAGATTTATATGTATGTATAGTGATATTTATATCCACATCCTGATATCATATACATTTTTCTATTGGTCCTGGGGTACACCTGGGGTGCCCTGGCTGAAGACCCGCCAAACCACAGGCGATCGCGCTCTCGTTGGTGATCTGCCGAATCTCTTCGGAATCTGGGAGCGAGGTGCCAATGTCTTGCTGTCTGTCGGAATGCGTGGTAATTCACGGGAAAAAATGCTGGGATTGGGAAAGAATATGTAAGAATATGTAAGAATAATGAGAAGAATAGCTATAGTACTATGTAATAATGAGTCTAGATGTACGCCTAATGGCACGTAAATTGAAATATAAAAAATACCTGAGCAAAAGATTCACATTGGTGGGGGGCAAAATATTTGGATAGTAATGACCTGGCCTTAAATATCACATTGAGTTTGTCTTTTCAAATGGTGGATTGACGCCAAATCTATGACTCTATGACCATAGGTTGCCATGATTTTCTCACCCGCGCCCCAAGGCAAGTCGGATTGGGCACTACCTGAGCTTTTGCGGACTCCAACCCCAGGGTGCTATTAGAGCTGGCCACATAGCCGGTGGGTGTTGAAGAGAAAGCTCCTTAAGTCGGCAAATTTCGAAACTAATTACACTACTTCATAGTATTTTAACTAATTATCCATTTTTCTCAGGGACGTTTTTGTTGACCTAAAGCCAGAATCCAACCTTTCAAGTTCACACTTGGCTATGGCTCAAAATTGGGTACTCGATCAACGTCTTAGGTCTTGAACTATATTCACAATGCACATCTTTAAGCGTATGTGTATTTATGTGTATGCATATACATATATATATATATACAGTGTATATATATATATATATAGATATATACAGTGTGTAGGTGTATATATATATATATACACAGTATATATATATATATTATAGTTCAATCCTCTCCAACAAGCTTAGCTGCAACTTTTGACACATAATACAACACATCAATCCAGGGGCCACCGCTCCAGAGCTGTGTTCCAAGTGGCTCGGGGACGTGTTCATCAAGGAGACGAAGTTGAAGGCGAAACGCCTCAGAAATTCGAGCACCTGGATTTTGGGGGATGACTAACCCCCACCAGAAAAGGTGACCACCTATAGAGTAGATAGTTAATATCAATACATTGTGATATTAATTGATATTAATAACAAATGATTCCCATGTTAATACATGGCAGTGATTGATTTGGGACGGAATTCTTTTTTTAAACGTGCAACAGAAAACCGAAAAAAAAGCGGGGGCCACGCCTGCAAAGGATGTAGGAGCATTGGCTCAAGCGCATGACATCAGCAAAAGCCTTCGGCCTGGGCGGCTGGAGATGTCACCACTCTTGGACATTCGGAGGGAATCTCAATCCGGCTTCAAGTTGTACTACTAAATCCTTTATGATATGTGTATTATGTATCATATAATAATATATATATATACATTATTATTGGTGTATATATATATATTATCATTATTATATATATTATTTCATATGTATGTATATATATATATTATTATTATCATTATTATTATTACCAAGGCACGAGAGTAGCAGCAACAGAGTGGGCTGGGCGGACACCACACACCTCAGCACATGTTCCGCTGGGATCACACAACCAGCACCCTGTGGATTTCTCACCATAGCTATCGAGACAAATCAATAAACATGTACAAACTCCATATATATATATATATATAGTTATAGTTGTAGTCATAGTTATAGTTATAGTTATATAGGTATAGTATGGTATAGTATGGTATAGTTATAGTCATAGTTATAGTTTTAGTATGCTATAGTTTGTGATAGTTTGTGATAGTTATATTTGGGGGGGTGTCATCAGCCCAACTTTTTTTTGGATGCAGGATATTGGTCAGCGCCAGTTTTGCCTATGGCAGCCTCTAGCTAGATACTACAAAATGCTACAAGATGCTACAAGATGCTAAACATCAGACAGTGGGTCAAAATGGAAGACCTAGGGACCACAGATGGAAATGTCTAGTTTAGTATTAACATGTTAGTCTAGTTTAGTATTAACCATCCATAATTTTGAGGTACCTAATTTTGACCCATACCCACATCAGACAGTCAAGTTTTGGGTGAAGCTATGGCTGCAGGTCGAAAAATTCATGGTACCCCCGAAAGTCAAAAACCCCACTGAAAGGATCAACAACTTTCAAGGCTGATGAAAGGTCACGTGTTGCTATTTCGCCGCGACGGGCAAAATGCTTATAGATAGAACTAGCCTCCTGAAAAAAGCTGGTTTTTTTCACCACATCATCCACCACATCTCAACTTGCTGTTTCTGATCTTTGAAAGTTCTTCATAAACTCCCCCATAATTCTGAGGATTTTTTGAGGGTTGCACAGTTCCATCTTCCAACCCTCAAACATCTACAGCTCCGCTCGCCCTGTTGCGCCGTACACTCCGCAATGGCTCCACTGCGTCCAAAGGCATGGCTCGGCAAGCCACGTCCCCTCCTTCAGCTCCTGTGGGCATTGACGTTTTTAACTCATCTATTATAATTCAAATTATGGAATATTATGGATCGATTGTGGATCTATTATGGATTAACTAATATATATATATAATTCTATGTGATGGACTTTGATGTGGTCCTTCTGGCATTTCACTCATACAAGAATATGGTCACTGCAATTCTAAGCCTTTTCCGCTGCCGCGCCGCATGTGTTTTTGGCACCGCCCTTTTTAGTGGGGAGCGTACCCAGAAAGCGCGGCATCGAGCAGCCGCGGGCGGCATGAATCGAAGGAGGGCACATGGAAGCTGCATTTTTGTGGTCAAAATATATCAAAATGAGGTTTGAATTATGTCCCTATATATCCCTATATGTCCCTTGCCAGGAAACACTCAACAATTACATCCCAAATCATACCCTCTGGTAAACTAACATAGCTATTGAAAATGGCCATTTATAGTGAGTTTTCCCATTAAAAATTGTGATTTTCCATAGTTATGTAAACGTTTACCAGAGGGTAAATGGTCTTTAAATTCTCAACCATGGGGATTCATGGGGTCCGAATCTTTGAGATAACAGCGTTGTGGTTTTTTTCAACAGACAGTCATCGGCCGCCGCAATTGACTTCTCGAGACCGAGCCAAGGACATCCAGTTTTTCAGGCCCCTTCAAGGCGACTGGGCGGGTGAAACCCCAGGATTATCAGGATTCGCCATGCCAATAAAACCCTGGGTGAGCAGGGCATCAAGACTAGGTGAACATCTCAGAAAGCCTGATGAACCCTGGGAAACGAACATCAAATCCAAAATGGATCACGATGGATCACGACCACCGTCCGGTCATCTGCGATGCTGGGAACACTCTGGTAATTTAATATTGCTATGGAAAATAACCACTTTTAATAGGTAAATCAACTATCAATGGTCCGTTTTCCATAGCTATGTTAGTTTACCAGAGCATAAAATCGTCCATGATCTTGGCTGTGTGTTTTCCTTTGTCCCAGCACATTTGATCTGCTACACCCCGGCTGCGTGGTACCTTCGAAGTGCATCATTTTAGCCTAATTTCTTCCAGAAAAAGGGAAGGGCAAATGCATCCTGTCATTGATGTTCAACCTTTGTAGGAGTGTTTATGAACTCAGGGTTTGACGTCAACACCACATCTACTCAATTCTGTGGATTCAAAAGGCCTGCTGTAAATAGTCAGTGGTCTCAAGAAGTGGTGCGGCTTGCAATCCAACCCAGAAGGATTGGGGTCATTTTAAACCAATCATTCAAAGTCCACAATGGGATACACAATATGACAACATCCCTCATTTATCCTAATTTTCCAGATATGACTGGGACTTCAACTTCATACCCAGCTGGTGGTTTATGATTGGATTTACATCAAAAAAAATACCGCATTTGATCATAGAGATGTAATATTCTTTTGTTTCACCTGCAAAAAACAACACAACCTATTGAATTCCTCGTGATTGCCAATTGCTTTGGCCTTGGAAAGTAGCTAAGCAGCAGCATGTGCCTGAGTAAGGGGCATCTGCAAGGACAACACCTGGCTTTGTCTTTTAAGATCCACTGGTGAATCATCATAAAATGATGTGTTTGTCCATTTTAATGAGGAAAATCCCTGGAAATACGGTACCATATTCATTTTCCCCATATTTTCCCCATTACAATTGCCATGTTATGGAAGGTATATCCCCCGCAATGCGCGCAGGGCGCAGCTCAGAAATATTCAGAAATCCTCCAGTTGCCCGGGGACGCTTCCGAAGGGCGACTGCTCCAACCTGACATGAAGAAAACATGGCCACAGCAGCCTCTTCCCGGGTGTGGTCTTAGCAAATGGGTTATAGGGTTATATATACCCCCCAGTTGTATATGGAATATCTATGAATATCTCCTATATTCTCCCATGATATAGTGGGATTCTATGGCTTATCTATGGATTATAAAGATTTATAAACCAATTAAAAATATTAAAACCACTGACTACAGGGGTTTGACAAAGTCATGCCTAAGTCACTCCTTTCGCTTTCCCCGCTTGTGAACGCAACATCAAGAAGTCATGCCTAAGTCATGCCTTTGGGCCTTCCCCCATTCAGAACGCAAGCGTCAAAATAACCCTTTCCAAATCAGAACCTTTCACTTTCACCCTTTTTTCTCTTCCCTGTGCTTGCGATTCACTGTTTCTTCTTTGCCCACTTTCTTCCCCAAACAGGTTTATCTGTATGGGGTTCTCAATAAGAATTCTGTAAATAGATACTGGGTAGCTATGGCCCTCTCACACAGAAAGAGGCCAATGCAGTTTGTAAGTTCTTACTCCTTTGAAAAGGTTGCAGTTGTGGGTCGCATTATTTTGCTTCTGCCTCCGGGCTTGCATTCCTGGCATCCTCGACCGACTACGGTCTGGTTGCTCTGGGCCGCCTGGGTATACAATGTTATACACTTGTCTCCCACTTGTCTCCACTGGTGTCCCACTTGTCTCCTACTCACCTGCATGTCGCATGATGTGCCTGATGTGCCTCAACAGCACCCACCACTTGGGTTCCTTCCTGACTTCCTTCCTTCCTTCCTTCCTTCCTTCCTTGCTTCCTTGCTTCCTTGCTTCCTTGCTTCCTTGCTTCCTTGCTTCCTTGCTTCCTTCCTTCCTTCCTTTCCTTCCTTCCTTCCTTCCTGCCCCTTCCTTCCTTCCTTCCTTCTTCCTTCCTTTCTCGTTTGTTTTTTTTATCCTTGTTTGTTTTTTGAGCCCTATTTGTTTTTTTTGATCCCTATTTCTCCACCTGCCAGGTGAGGGTTGTTAGATTTTATCACAGTTGTTCTCCTCCTCCGCCTCCTCCTCCTCATCCTCCACCTCCTTCTCCTCCTCCTCCTTCTCCTCCAGCTTCTCCTCCACCACCTTTGCATCCACTTCCATGTCCACTTCCGCCTTGCCAACTCTTCGCCAACTTCCGCATGCAGTGGGCACTGCTGGACCTCAACTGCCGTCCGCCTTGCCAACTCTTCGCCAACTTCCGCATGCAGTGGGCACCGCTGGACCTCAACCTGGGACCTTCCGAGCTCAGTGAGCACCGCTGGACCTCAGCCTGGGACCTTCCGAGCTCAGTGAGCACCACTGGACCTCAACAGCCAGATAGAATGCCAGAAGATATGCCAAATAGAACGTCAGATAGCATGTCAGATAGAATGCCAGAAGATATGCCAGATAGAACGCCAGATAGAATGTCAGATAGAATGCCAGAAGATATGACAGATAAAATGCCAGAAGATATGCCAGATAGAATGAGTTCTGATATGCCAGATAGAATGCCACAAGGTATGCCAGATAAAGTGCCAGAATGTTTGCCAGATAGAATGCCAGAAGATTTGCCAGATAGGATGTCAGAAGGTATGCCAGAAGATATGCCAGATAGAATGCCACAAGGTATGCCAGATAAAGTGCCGGAATGTTTGCCAGGTAGAATGCCAGAAGATATGTCAGATAGAACGCCAGATCGAATGCCAAAAGATATGTCAGATAGAATGCCAGAAGATTTGCCAGTAACAAAACGTATAAATGTCATGGTGGGGATCACTCGAAGTAAAGTAATTGTTTTTTTCACCCCTCTCCCACCCAGCAGCACTGGACAGGCAGAGACAAGAAACAACGACCAAGCAAAGAGAGAGACCAACTGCAGCAAACATCCACCAGCAGCATCTGCCCAAAGAAGAGAGCAAGAGGAAGGCAAGAGCACCAACCAAAGATACCAAAGAGCAACCAAAGAAGGGCAGGGAAGGGGAAAGGACCAGGAAATCTAAGCCTGGAAAAACGAGATCAAAAACGAGATCAAAACGAGATGCAAACGAGATCCGAGCCCTGGCAGCAGCAAACTCCCGGAAAGTAAAATCGGAAGGTTGAATCACATGAAGGGGAAGCCTACAGGCAAAATATTGCGCACATTGGGGCATCGCGCATTGACGCAGCACAAGCAGGCAGAACCCAGCAGCAGCAGGCAGAACCCAGAAGCACAAGGCAGAACCCAGCAGCACAAGGCAGAACCCAGAAGCACAAGGCAGAACCCAGCAGCACAAGGCAGAACCCAGCAGCACAAGGCAGAACCCAGCAGCACAAGGCAGAACCCAGCAGCACAAGGCAGAACCCAGCAGCACAAGGCAGAACCCAGCAGCACAAGGCAGAACCAAGCAGCAGCAGCAGCAGCACAAGGCAGAACCCAGCAGCACAGGGCAGAACCCAGCAGCACAAGGCAGAACCCAGCAGCAGCAGCAGCAGCAGCACAAGGCAGAACCCAGCAGCACAAGGCAGAACCCAGCAGCACAAGGCAGAACCCAGCAGCACCCAGCAGCACAAGGCAGAACCCAGCAGCACAAGGCAGAACCCAGCAGCACAAGGCAGAATCCAGCAGCACAAGGCAGAACCCAGCAGCACAAGGCAGAACCCAGCAGCACAAGGCAGAACCCAGCAGCACAAGGCAGAACCCAGCAGCACCAGCAGCAGCAGCAGCAGCAGGCAGAACCTAGGAGCAGCAGGCAGAACCTAGGAGCAGCAGGCAGAACCTAGGAGCAGCAGGCAGAACCTAGGAGCAGCAGGCAGAACCTAGGAGCAGCAGGCAGAACCTAGGAGCAGCAGGCAGAACCTAGGAGCAGCAGGCAGAACCTAGGAGCAGCAGGCAGAACCTAGGAGCAGCAGGCAAAACCTAGGAGCAGCAGGCAAAACCTAGGAGCAGCAGGCAGAACCTAGGAGCAGCAGGCAGGCCCCAGAAGCACAAGGCAGAATCAAGCACAAGCAGGCAGGACCCGCCACAAGCGGGCAAAACCAGCACAAGCGTGCAGAACCCAGAACCCAGCAGCAGCAGGCAGCAGTAGGCAGCAGCAGCCATCAGCAGGCAGAACACAACAACAGCAGGCAGAACCCAGCAGCAGCACGCAGAACCCAGCGCAAGCGGGCAGAACCGAGCACAAGCAGGCAGATTCCAGCAGGCACAGATTCAGCAGGGGACGGAACCATACAGAACCTAAATATGATAAGTTTCAATGGGCGCGCCTCTCACCGAACTATTGACAATGGCACCACCGTAAAGATTGCAATCAATACCATACAGGGTTAAGTAGAATCATGTCAACAATACACTGCCCACAGCGATGAAACAGTATTCAAATCAATAACAGCCAGTCAAATAAAGAAAAGAACTATCAAAATCTAAACGAAACACTGCGCGCACGCAGGTGTGATACGACTTCAGGTCACTTGGAATGACGTAAGCCTAGTGGTAGTAGTTCAGAAGCAATCCAGCAGCAGTTTGGCAGTAGCCAGCGGCAGCAACTGAGCAACAGCCAGCAATTGAGCAGCAGTTTAACAGTAGTTGCTAAATACAGTTGAACGTACAGAAGTCACTGATAAGAAAGCAGCTGCAACAAAAAAAGTTTCCCCCCAACTGAACGCAACAAAAACTACATATACCCAAAGCATAACTAGATACCTAAACCCAAGCTAAACGCAAGGAAAAAAAGAAAAACACCTAAAAACATGGTTGCGCTGTGATCACCAGAGTTTGCTTGCGTTTTCCAAAAAGGCACGACTTCCAGGGAAAGCTTCGACGCAACTAAATCTAGAGATTTCTTAAAAAAAGGAACGACTTTGTCGCTTGCCTGTAAGTGAGATGCACTTAGTAAGATCCGTAGATCTCCATCCCAGGTGACCCCACCTCTGCGAAGGTACCCGGGGAGGCGGTGGTGAGTGGTTGGTCGGACTGAGCACCGGCGACAAAGTCGTCGAGTTCGAGGGGGTCACGTTTCCCATGGCCCTGGCGGCTTCCCGCGCGGCCATCAGCCTGGCCAAGCCATGGGCCACGTTTTAGCAGGGCTGGTGGGTTGGGGAGTAAACCAACCTACCGGGGGGTTCCATCAATGGGGGGATACCTCAAGGTTTTTGGTGGAAAATCCATGAAAATTTTGGGGGTACCCCCATTTTAGGACATCTCCATATGGTAAATTTGAAAAAAACATGTTTTGGGTGAAAATCCCATGACTGTCTTCAACCAAGGCAATGATCAAATGTCTGTCAACACGTGTTTTTTTTAATGAGGATACACCAAAACAGCAATTTTGATGTAAAACATGATGATAAATCGTGCCAAATCTAGGAATTTCCTAACATGTTCAAACCCATACAGGATGGTTAGTGGTGAATATGCCATCTGGTTACCTGGTTCCCCTGTGGGTCAAGGCTACCAAGTCACTTCTTCGCATGCTGTGCGTGCTGGAGAATTCCTCTACGCGCGGCCAAGCGAACCGTGAACTTCCGCACAATCTGCCCCAGCTGGGGACAACGGATCCGCCTTCTCTCGATGACCTGTCACCAGTCACCAGCTGTCCCGTGACGATCATCTTGTGTTCACCCCTGAAATTTTTGCGATGTCCTCCATTGTTCCATTGAAATCCTCGATACAAACTAAAATGTCCATCTCATTTTGGCAGGTCGTAAGTCTTAGCGGCTACCCTCCGGTAAATCAAGCGTGACAAGTGGAAATCCACGATTAGAATGGATGTTTTAGTGGGAAAATCCTCCATAGATGGTGGATATGGTGGGTTTTTCAGCCACATGTCACAATTTAGCGGGAAATGACCCCAAGAAAAATCACCAGTTGGCGCAGTCCGCAGTCCCACCTTCATGAAGTTGGCGCGGGTTAAGCACAAGACTTCCAAGTAGGTCAGAGCGAAGCCCCTCACCGGGTGGATCAAATTGACATCCGACAGCACAAAATCCTCCCCCCACACGGCTCCACCGCTGATGACCCGCGAGTTCAAGGCCACCAAACCCTTGGACAAAATGTAGAGCACATGAACGTTCTCAAAGCCTCAAGGGACATCATTCAGATAGGGTCCATTTGGGTTGTCATGTCATTGGATGTCTTGGTGAAACAAAAACGAAAAACACCAAACATATCGTCAATGGATTGGTTTAAGGGAAACATTTTACAGGAAAACCCTATTAATTTCATGGGAAAATGTATGGGTTCCGGCTTGAGATGGTCCCCAAAAAAACCATCCATTGATATTGAAAAAGGATTCAAGGGATACGAGATCAACTAGCTGGATTTGGCGATGGGATATCTCCCAACAAAGGTTTTCATTGAAAAGAAAAGGGACCAGCCAGTGATCCAGAAATTTTCTGAATCAAAACAGAAAATGGGATCAGATATGATCAGATGTTCTGCGAAACTGGCGAAACGAAATTTAAAATGACAAGTTCCTCTGCGGCTTCCGGTTTCGGCTCAAGACATTTTGATGCTTCATCTTTCTGGATTCACATCCCCATCCGAAATACGTGCTATCTAATCTGCCAAAATATGTTACCTGGCAAAAAAAAACAAGGCTGAGCCAAAAAACGCAACTCTTTCTGGCTCAACATTCACCTCTTCACCATTCACCCAACCATCACATCCCGGTTGCCCGGTTGCTATATATCCAGTAAATGTTCCCATGGTATCCCACAATGTTGCTGATATATTCACCCTATATTGTTGAGTATAAATTCCCATTGTATCCCCATCAAAATCACATCAAAACACATCAAAACCATGATATTGTTTCACCACATCCCGATGGATATGCCATTCACGTTCCACCATTTTCCGTTCGATCTTCCCACATCCAGCAGTTTCCACCACTCAAAAAGCCAGCATTTTTCCAGCGTTTTGCCCGTTTTGCTTCACCGAAAAATCTCCCAAGATCCCACCAAGGCACGTTCCCCCTGGGCGAAGGCCCCACAGTCCAGCTCGCGACTCACATCCGCGATGCACATCCGAAAGGCGTCCACGTCCATGCCTTTGGCCTCGGTTTCCTCGATGAGCTCCATGAATTGGGTGAAAAAGGTCACCTCCAGAATTTTCGGCGGATTTCTGAAGGGGATTTCTTGGTCAAATGTCCTGGGATGACATGATGACCATTGGGAAATATCATGGCTTTTATATCATGGGAATGTCATGGGATGACCATGGGATGACCATCACCAATGATTGGTAAATCACCCATCTAATGGGGATTGAACTTTGTGCATTAGTGGGAATATTAGTGGGAATATCATTGCTTTATATGGCTTTATATCATGAGATATGGCCGTTTTAGCATCTTCCCAAGATGAGTACGGGTCTTTTCTTTGTGCCAAACGCCTAGAAACAATCACCATAGTTTATAGGGATGAACACACTTTCCGCGGCTTGAATCCCAAATGAGCAGTGGAACTGGATGGAACTGGCAACCTTAGCAGTGAAACTCCCAACTCGAATGGTTGGTTCATGGAGTCCCAGTTCATGGATTATGAGAATCGCCAAAATAGTGTGTAGGAAAAAAGCCCCGAACGAATCATCAACCCCCTGGGCTCTGTGGGAACTGTGGAGTGCGGCTAGCGGGTCTGGCTGATGAACCATCATCCCCTTGAAAGAAAAAATGGGGGTTCATCTGCAAAAATGGTGACACTTGTGGCAAAATTGGTGCTGATTGGGAGCTTTACGTGATTTTACTTCAAATTTGGATTAATGAACCAACGAAAACAAGAAGGTCGGATTTGCTGATCCAGAGTTTGGAGATCACTGACGGAGTGGATAAATGAACATCCCAACATCAACTGGGGTCATTTGGCTTGTTCCCACCTTTTCCAGACAAGAAAAGCAGGTCCCTTTGCGAAAAACATGTCATGGTCAGGGACTGGTACCATTTACCATCATTTATCCATCGTAACAAACCAGCCAGTTGGAATGGTCGACCTAAAAGGGTGGATTTCACAAGGATTTGACTAGCAAATTTGGAGCTGTCAACGAGCCAAATGATGGGAATCGTACTAAGTTACGAACGAACCTAGCCATCCACCAACATTGCATGCAAAAAAGGCATACGTACCAATTAAGGGATCCACCACAGCAGGTTTCCACCCCAATGGAACCCTGGTGAAGGATGAGACTCATGTTTCTGACTGCGAGAGCTGACTATCCTGGCTCCCCAGTGTTTTTTCAATCCTGGAATGCAAAAAAAAACAAGTGAAACCACAATGTTCAATCCTTACTTTCTGTAATGGTTCAATCCCTACTTAATGGTGGCTAGAACCTGTACTATTGGTGGATAAACATCCCACTTTGATCATTGACACCAGAACATGACCACAATCTGCTTGGATGACGGATCCCCGTCGCTGCCAGGCTACTCTTCTCAACCACGCCAAGTTCAGGGCAATACACACCTGACCCCAAAACCCTGTCGTAGGGTCTGGAAAACCCTATGATACCCTGTTGGGTTTCTCATGATAGATTGGTTCTAGTTCTAGAAATAAGATGATATAAGGCAGGGTAGGAAGGGTGTAACCAAAGTTGTTTCATCCAAATCCTGACAGCATACAGAGCTGAGAAAGTGGGCCTGGATGACGCATTCTGTAACAGGACCACAACATGCATCTAGGATGGCTCAAGAATAATGGAACTTCCCACCATCTTGGACACGGTTCCAAAAAATGATAACTACAATGATGACGATAGCAACTCAACCATTTTTAATCCATTGTCACATCCATTATTATCAACATTCATCATTTTTAGCCATTATTAACCATTTATCTAATGGTTATTAAGCATTTAATCATTAGCACTACTATCCGTCATTATCACCATTAATCACCATTAATTGTTAACCGTAATAATGGTTATATAATCACTATTATATAATCACTCTTAATCATGGTGATTAACAACTCTTCGCCATCTAACCACCACTCTTCGCCATCGAATAACCATTATTAACCACTATTACCATCTGGTTATGACTAACACTTCGCTATGGAAAATCATGGCACCCATGTTTTTTTTTGCTAGCTAAACCATCTATTTCGATTAGGGCCATGGCTATTTTCCATGGCTATGTTAGTCACAACTAGAGGGTATATCCCATTAATATCCAATTGAATCACAATAAAATCCCATCAATTTCCCATTAAATCCCATTAATTTCCCATTAAATCCCATTAATTTCCCATTAAATCCCATTAATTTCCCATTAAATCCCATTAATTTCCCATTAAATCCCATTAATTTCCCATTAAATCCCATTAATTTCCCATTAAGTCCCATTAATTTCCCATTAATTTCCCATTAAAATCCCATTAATTTCCCATTAAAATCCCATTAATTTCCCATTAAATCCCATTAATTTCCCATTAAATCCCATTAATTTCCCATTAAATCCCATTAATTTCCCATTAATTTCCCATTAATTTCCCATTAAATCCCATTAATTTCCCATTAAATCCCATTAATTTCCGACTTGAGAGGGGGGGGACGAAAGGTGGGGGGGGGGCAAAAGAGACTAGCATTACATGGAAAGGCGGCACAGGGCGCCGCGATTTTTTTGCTGTCTGTGAAGCGTCAAGTCAGATGGCATCAGTGGCTGCACGCTAGGGATGTGAAATGCCTGTCGCAGCTGCCGCATGAAGTGGGTGCCAGATGTTTTGATTGGATGTCTGCGTTTCAAATAGTATTGTTCTTATTGAAAATCTTCGCGGGTTTGGCTATCAACAGTAGCTTCGATCGGTTTTAGCACGATGCTCTTTACTACAGAGTTGTCATTGCAGGCATTATTGAGTGGAAGGGGCATATGTATTCCCCATCTTATTTAGTGGGAATATCTTTATGGCAAGTTAACCAAGAAAAATGGATCTGACAGAGAGTATCTTAGTCTCAAACCTGCTAAGTGGTGGTATTCTGACTTCGACTCATATTTACCTTTGTACACGGCAAAATGCGGTGAAAGATTGAAGCCTTTGTAGCTCAGTGGCCTCCACTCTTTACTGCAAGAGTGCCCATTTAGAAACCATGAATGAATTCCCAAAGAGATACATCTCGATGCCATGTTCTTTGCTACACGTGCCTATTGAACTACAGAAACGTTTTTGGTCACCCCTCAGATCATGCAATGGGGATAGCTATTGGACATGTTCTTTATCTTGGATATCTTGGATATTTTATGGGATAATTATGTGTAGTATGAGATATGTTATAGTTCACACAACTTACAACGTGATTTTTTGTTTCCTGGCGTTCAGGCATCATCACTCGAAAAACTGATCTGGGGAGCGTCATCAGATCTGAAAATGACGTCCCAGGCAATGGGACTAAAATATGCTGGAAAAATGGGTTTGATAGGTATAGATTGATCCCAGGATAAGTCGGGATGATGACATTTCCAGCTCTGACCATCGCCAGGGAGCAGTCACGGTGGGGCCACCCCGGCGAAGTCTTGGCTGATGCCAGCAAAGTAGTCCTCATTGCGCTTGGGCCAATGGTTGCTTCCAATTTTCTCGGTGCAAAGAAAGATATTTTGTGTGTGTGTGTCTTACATGTACACATTTAATGATACGTAAAATGTGTGTGTGCAAGATATATATATATATACATATATCATATGATTAGATTTAGAAATAGAATTATATATGTATGTATGTATGTAATTATGTATGTAATTATGTATGTATGTGATCGGGAACACTGCTTAATGCTGGGATCACTCCGCGCGCGCGCGCGTGGATGTGCGGAAGGGCAATTTGTTCTGATTGCTTCCTGTTGCTAGTCATATCAGCAGCTAAAATACGAAGACGCGTACCGCATGGCCACGCAGCACAGCCCGCACGACCATGCAAGCAGGGCACCGCAGTGGACTGCACTTGAACCGTGGTTATGCAAAGGAAGTGCAGACCCATGACGTATCTGCACAACAGCATATGCCTTTTCTTCTCCTCTGACCCCAGGTCTTTCCGAGAACATCCTATACAAACAAAACGTTCTTCTGATCTTTGCGTCCTGCTGTGGCGCAAATATTGGCATCTACAGATGAAGCAAAGACCAGCTGCCCACCAGAAGTTGCATCTAATCGTTGTGTGACCAGCCAGCATAACTTCTGCTCGCAACTCGAAACTACAGCAACGAACAGCATGGCGCAAAGCAGCTCCGTCTCTCTCCAACGTCGACATCCTATACCCTGTCTTCTGACTCAACTTTCACAAACTAGCACTGATCAGAAAAAAGCATGGAGCAAAGCACTGTTCTCTCTGGCTCTCTCTTTTTCTCAGTATGTCAGCTTTCAGGCAGAGAGAGTAATAGTGATCAGCGAAAGACATGGAGCAAAGCATTCCTCTCTCTCTCTCTTTCTCTCTCTCTCTCTCTCTCTCTCTTCTCTCTCTTTCCGTCAACTTTCAGGCCAATGTCCTCTCTCTCTCTTTCTCTCTCCTTCTTGTCCTCTAACTGGCTGGCCCATCTATCTCTCCATTCCCAGAAAACCGGATGTCAACTTTCATTCCAATGTCCTTCTTCTCCAATCGCCTCTCACTAGCTGGCCCATCTATCGGTCCATTACCTGAACCCGAAAAACCGGACCTAGGGGGAAGCGATACCCACCGTCACTGTTTTGCCACCTGGTACATTACCCTGCAAAATCATACTAGTGGCCGGCCGTTTTTACCACCTATTTTCCCGATTTTCGGCCACTTTGGCCGCTACCCCCCCCAGACTTCCTATTCTCACTTCGTTTGCAAATAGCAACTAGCCAGCTTCCCGGCTGGCTTTCGTAATTATATATTAATAATGTATGTATGTATATATATATATATAGTAATATATAGATCATATGTGTTTTTCCATATCATTATATAATCATAGATTTTATAAATCATCGTTCCATTGGAAATGTCGTGGATCATTCCTCATGGCTTCGCTGCCAGCGGCGACTCCGCGCCTAGTAAAGCTGGCATGGTAGCATAGTAAGCCGTGGGTCTCATAGCAATCCGTCTGCACGCGCAGATCCACGTAGGCCTCCAAGATCACTTCGCTGTGAAAATCTCTGGGGAAATTTTATACGAACTAAGAACCCAATGTGTGTTGGTTGAACAACATTGGATAGCATAGTTATGCCCAGGTACTACCTGTTAATAATAGATAATCGACCAAATAAGTCTCACCCATTACTAGATGTATACTAGATGCTTCAATTGGGATACTTAAATAACTAATTAGCTGTTTCTTACTTCCGTTAAGATAAATAAGAGTTGTTGTTTTTGACTCGGGTAGCTGGGGCAGTACTGGGTTTTATAGCAGGGGCAATGCTGGGGAGAAACAATTATTTTCTTGGGTTTATAACTTGCATAGACCCTGCCCGTGGTTCAACAACTGATTGGAGAACTAGGCTGAATGGGGCTGTAAATACGGATAGCGGGATATCACCCCTGGTTGAAATGATGGTCTAGACAACTCTAGTTGAGGTATATATACATTCATAGTATATACCCTCTGGTAAACTAAAATGTATACATATATATATATATAACTATGGAAAAATCACCTGTCTTGATAGGTCGATGAGTTTGAATAGGAAAACCACTGCACTAAATGGGTCAATGCAGTCGATGTCCACAGCAAACTATTATGAATCAAAGTTACCATCTAGTTATTTAACATAGCCATGGAAAACTTTCATAAATGGATGTTTTAATGGGAAAATCATCTATAAATGGGCTATTTTCCATGGCTATGTAACAAATAACTAGAGGGTACCATATAGGGTCACTAGGTTTCGTGCTCAGATCTGCCTCGCCAATGGAATTGATCATCTCCGCTTCCTTCACCAGCAGCCTGAGACGAACGCCGTCGCAAGAAGCGACACCGAACAACACGGCACGACGTGGGTGGAGGATTTTATCTCAACTCACTTGGGTACAGAGAGCCGATACATACCAATATAGCATAAGTATAGCAGAAGTATCTAACTTATATGTACTTATCTAACTGTAAACATCTTGAAAGTCGCGCACCCAACGGTGCCGCGTCGCAGTGTGTTTTACCATGAGCTCGGCACCGCTGGGCACCTCCCTTTTGCACACAGGCTTCCAGACCTGTTGGTGAGACGATCAACTGTATCCATCGATAGATTTTGGGTGTTGCCAGCCATGCTGTTTGCCAGGTCCTGGCAACAGCCATCTTGACCAGAAACTGTTGAGTTGTTAGCAATGCATACCAACCCCAAAGAAGAGAGACAATGATAGACAGCTTAAAAGACTATCTAGTAGAGTAGACAGATGTAAATTGATATAAAATTGAACTTGGTCTGAATGTGGGGTTGCCCACTGGCTATAACCCATATTAATCCCGGCGATATCCCCGCGCTTACTGGGCATCCAAACGAGTAAAGACTTGCAGTTCACTAAGCATTAGCACCTAGGCTGACGATTCCAAACGGCCGAAAAGCGACGATTCCAGGGCTCAACTATGAGCTTTAAACATCTTTAAACCTAATGTTTAACTATCAAACGTAAGGGTATAGACTTGGGAATCTCATGATGATTCACTATAATAATTCATAACCATGTTTAACTATCAAACGTAAGGGATCGGAAAGGGATATACTTGGATATACTTGGATATAGTTGGATAATCTCATAATTCACGATCATTGACGTCGCAGCAATGTCGTTACATCGTTATCCAGAGGTCCTGCGCCCGCCGTCTTGGAGTTGCTTGATGTTTCCAATGAGAAATTTACTCTGGCAATCCATGATTTCTATTGATTTCCTTAATAGACATATATAAAATTGTATAAACATGGTGATTTTCTATGGCTATCTATGCCCTATGCTATCTTAGAAGGCAACACGCCCACATCCAGTCGTTACCACCTCGGGAAGTCGACCCGAAGAAAAGCTACATGTTTTGGCACGTTTTACCACCCATGGGATCTATCACCATGTACCGTCTGGTAAACATACAAGAAAGTGTGGAAAATCACCATTTTCAATGGGAAAACTCACTAGTTCTATGGCCATTTTCAATAGCTACGTTAAATTACCTGAGGGTATTGACATTTGCCTTTGGGGATTTCCAAAAACTTGGATTTTCCGATTTTTTTCGAAAACAAATCCATCAACAAATCGCCTAGGTGACAGTCAAGGCTCCTGGACTTTCTTGCTGGCTGGCATCTTTTTGCTGCAAACTGCTGCGAGGCATTATGTACCACCGGAGACATTTTGGTAACCCAGAGTGGTCTCCATTCTGGGGGTCTGGCACCTGGGGTGCTTACGACCAGCATGTGTACAGCACGGAATCTGGAAAGGCAGCATTGCAATGGTCTCGGGAAAAGTCTGCTTGCGAACCGCTGCTACCTCATGTTGGAGGCTTACACCACTTTCATCAGAACCTCGGGAAGATAAATCATTCAATGCTATGATTTCTGCTGAAAAGGCTACTCCAATGGCACTACCGACCTCCACTCGGCATAGGTGTTGCGCGAATGCTGTGGTGGGGCTGACCTTGCCATAGCCACGCAAACCTCTGCAGCTGGAATGGGGCCGGTACCGTTTCTTGTGTCGATGTGCCTCGGTTGTATGGGCAGGATCAATAGCTGTGGTGCCTGAAACTCTTCTGTGCCTTTGCAGCAGGAATATGGCATCGATGGCATCATCTGACATCAGTCTGGCGTAATCAGTTTCACACTCATGTGGACTAAGGCCCAAGTGCATACCCATGGCCATGTACCTAGTGGAGGCGCATGATTGTTCTCCACATGGTGGAATGGCAACGCGGAAATACGAGCCATGTTGGACATTTTTGGGAGTGTGATCATGAAGACTCCACAATACATGATTTACCCACACCAGGCATGGGAGGTCAGTGTGGTCACAATACCTGGTGAGTTCAAGGTTCTCGAGAAACTGACGGGAAGTGAGTCTGTTAGGAAAATATCGGGGATATCTGCTTCGGTCAACCTCCCAGCTGGGGGGAACTGGATGGTACTCTATGTCAAGGAGAGTGAGTTGCAGCTTGGATCCATCCGGCAGCTCATCATGACGCTGGACGAGTGTGGCTTGGAGTCCTTGATCAACCAGGTCCTGCGGAGGCTGGGGCACAGCATAGTTGGCATAAACTTGGTGCACGGGCCATTGATACGCCCTTGCGATCTGCTGTATCCGCAAATTGGGATTAACTGCATTCAACTGCAAAACCCTGGACGGCTGAGAGATGGTAAAAATCATCGTGGCATGCCAAGCGCTTTCCGAAGTTGACGAGCCAGACTCTGAATCAGAAAATTCTGCTTCCTCCTCAATTTCTGCTTGATGGGCTACTTGTGGCAACATGGATGCAGATGGATTGGATATGGTGGCCGGTACATGAACCCCGTACGACATGAATGAACAGCTATCATCCTCACTGACTGGGTGAATAGGCCTATGTCTTTCCATGTCATCTTGTTTGGCACGGGTGGATTGGCCTGGTACTCCTCCTTGACCAAAGTGATGTCGGCATCCCGATGCTAGTGCGCAAGACGCAGCAATTGTCCCCAACATCAGACGCAACATCTGATGAACAAGATGCAGCAATTGTTTTCCTGCAGCAATTGTATCCCTGGAAGATCAGGACCAAGTCAAACTAAAAACCAGCAATTGTATCCCGTTATAGATCGATGGCTACCTTGATCGATAAACGATAAACTGATAGATAGATAGATAGATAGATAGATAGATCAATAGGTAGATAGATAGATAGATAGATCCAAGGATAGATAGATAAATACATACATAGATGGACAACTAGATAGATAGATACATCGATAGATAGATGGATAAGGAGGTAAGTACATAGTCAGAGAAAAAGAAAGAAAAAAATGCGGACCAGGGGGGAATCGAATGGGGGGGGGCGGGGCCCCCCCCTTAAGTGGAGATTCAATACTCTCGGCTTTCAATTTCCGGGAAAGGAGCAGCCACCTCCCCCAGTACTAAACTAGTACTAAAGTACATAGAACTCAGGTAGCCTAGGCTACCTTTCGTGATTAAATCCCATTAATTTCCCATTAAATCCCATTAATTTCCCATTAAATCCCATTAATTTCCCATTAATTGCCCATTAATTTCCCATTAATTGCCCATTAATTTCCCATTAAATGCCCATTAATTTCCCATTAAATCCCATTAATTTCCCATTAAATCCCATTAATTTCCCATTAAATCCCATTAATTTCCCATTAAATCCCATTAATTTCCCATTAAATCCCATTAATTTCCCATTAAATCCCATTAATTTCCCATTAAATCCCATTAATTTCCCATTAATTGCCCATTAATTTCCCATTAAATCCCATTAATTTCCCATTAAATCCCATTAATTTCCCATTAAATCCCATTAATTTCCCATTAATTGCCCATTAATTTCCCATTAATTGCCCTATGTTAGTCATATCGGATCATCCACCATTCTCCAGCCGCAGTGGCCTCGGACTGCAGCTGCGGACTCATGGACTCCCGCAGGCGTTGCCGCGTGACGTGCATCGCTTGGTGCCGGTTCTGCAGGAAGAAGCTGCGCAGCCGGCAGCGGAGCTCCTGCCACTGAAAGATGGGGAAAAGGTGGAAAGATGTGGAAAGTCTCGGATTTACCCAGGTCAAATATGGTGAAATGGCGATTTTTGTGAATTGATATGTGGGCGTTCGATCCAAAATGTGGATTTGATGTGCACTTCTCTGGATGAATCAAGGATTCGGGATAGCCGCAATAAAAGGGAGGTCTACCTCAGAATAGCCATTTTAATTGTGGAAAAAGATGTTTAAACACTGGATGGCACAGGGTACCGAATTTTCACACAGAGACTTATTTGGGGAGATATGGACGATTTCTTTTCATGGGGAGTATGAGCGCCCGGCGGGGATGCAGGACAACCCTACCATTGGTGCCAGTTACTTCCGACGTGCAACCACTGATTACTGCGGTGCAATCTTTAAACTGCGGAGGGTACTGCAGATGGGCGCAATCTGAAAAGCCAATCAATTCTACCAATGATCACCATCTGGTTATTAAACATAGCCATGGAAGCCATGGCCCATAGAAATAGATGGTTTACCTATTAAAAATGGGTGGATCTTTCCATGGCTATGTTAGTCATAACCAGAGGGTACTATTCAGTGATATTCAATCATATTCAATCCGTTAGCTCCAAGTTTGACACCCTTCATGTTCTTCATGTTGGCATGGCGTAAGCCATCAGTTGGTGCCCAGGTACGTATGGCAGACCCTGCTCCCACATCATGGTATTCAGGTCCGTCATCTTCTTGCGGAAGGCCTCAAGGGATACACAAAGTCTGGCATTTGAAGAAGACAACACCCGGGTGAGGAAGTACTGCAAATAAAGAATGCATCAGACCTTAATGCCTGACTTTCAGTGATTAATGGTGATGAATGGTGACTAATGGTGACTGACCCTCAGTAGATGCTCCTCCCAGTCGGAAACAGACAAAATTGTAGGGATTTCCAACTGCCACATTTGATGACCGGAGGGTATATCCATTCATCTCCCAGTCGTCACTGTCAACCCATTATAATCCCATTGATCATTCTTAATCATGATTACTGGCAGGGGGAAATCCATTCATCCTACTATTCACCTATCATTCTCCCATCATTATCCCATCATTCTCCCATGAATGTCTCGTTGATTTTCCCCATGGAAAAACCCATCGAAAACGACCGCTGCATCACACGCCCCGCCCTGTTCGCCGTCGCCTGCGTTTCTTCGTTCATGTCGCTGACGATGGCGCACACCTCACCCAGGACATAGGCCCAGCAGAGTCCAGCCGTCAGAATGATCATGGTGCACCTGGGCAGCTGGCCAGCGCGGCAGGGGTCATTGGGATTCACTGCATGATGAATTTGAGTGGGATTCACATAAAAAGGCCCGATGGTTTAATATAATATAAATATATATATATCCCCAAAATGATCCCAAAATGCGGAAAAAAAAATTGCACATTCAAAATCCCAAAATCGATATGGGTGGGATTGAAGACATCCACAAATGGGAGGTTGTTCATGGCATGGGGTTGTGATTGATCAAGGGTGGTCATTGTGCATCCTGAAAATAATCATGATGGCAACTATAGCGATTATGCTGCTTGGACAATGACAATGACTAAAATATCAATTTAATGAGCATTGAACCTGATATAAGAGTAGTATCGAGTAGTAGCAAACCGACCAGCTGTGGCTAAGCATGGCTTTCTAGCAAGTCATACATGGCATATCAACAGAAATGAACAAAAACGTGAACACGTTGCCTCGACTGAATCTCAATCGTTTTTTGGAGATGTCCCAAAATAGGAGTACCGAAATCAATCAAATCATCCATTTATAGATGGATTTTCCATGATAAACCAGCTATTGGGTTACCCGCCATTCAAGGAACCCCCGAAGATCTTTTCCCATGGCCCAATCATCGTGAAAATCATCCCTTGGCCCATGCCATGGCACACCACCCGCTCGATGATGTTGCGGGGGAAAATGTCGCCATAGCCTACGGAGGTCATCGTATAGCTGCAGAAGTAGAAGGCTGTGAGGTACATCCGAAAGGGCTCACTTCGGGTGTCCTCAGGAAGTGAATTGCCCATGATCAATTAACATATCTATGGGAGCACTAACATATGCAATATATATATATATGTATATATACATATATATATATACATATACATATATACATATATATATATATACATATATATATATACATACATATATATATACATACATATACATATACATATATATTTATATACTGTATACATGGTGTATCGTATATCCACCATCCGGAGCGTGCTAGGAAATAAGAGCTGTGTTCGTTTCAACCCCATCATCAACCCACCAGTGCAGGTTTCACCAGGGGCCACCTCGCCCAAAGAAAGTACATGACAAGTTGCAGTTAGATCATCATATTTACACTTCTGATATTGTATATCTATATAGTTATATGCATGATATAGACATCCTTCTTTGACATTATTCATAAATAATATTTATATATATATATACATGATATATAAGTAAGTTTAATTAATCTAATGTATATATATATATGTTGGATATCCAAACCTTCATCATCATATTATGTGTATATATATATATATCGCCGAGGATCAATCCCAAGGGTGGCATCGGAATTTTCCACATCATCAATCCAGGTGGGGATCTTCGGCTCCGACTGGGGATCCGAGAGCTGGAGAGTCATGGCCCAGACGCACGAGAGCCAATGGCACACGATCAACAGGACGAAGAGGAAGCGAACCAACGCGAATTGCTGATATGGGATAGACACCGCCTGGGCAAGCTTGGCGAATATGATGATTTTGATACGGTTGATCTGGTGGGCTGATGAATATTGATGAATATGGTTCTGAAATGTTCTAAATACCCAGAATGAGACTAGAATGTGGGAATTCACTGCTTCAGAATGGAGAATCATGACGAATCTCCGAGCGTTTTCAGCCCTAAGTGGGTAGAAATATATATATATTATATATATATATATGTATATATATATAACGTGTGAAAAAGAGAAAAGACGTTGACAGCTCCGAGCTGCAATCTCAAGCTTGTGTAGCCATCTCAAATTCTTCAGCACTCCTTAGCAACGGGGCACTACCTGGGATAGGCTGACCGGCTGAGTCTATGGCTGGATCCAATGCATTGCTTCGTTGCAACATGCCCCTGCCCCTGTTTACCAGTTCACGGTGGGCTATGATGTGAGTAGTTCACCCCTCTCTTTTGATTAGTTCCACACCCAACTCCAAGCCCAACGTTCCATGGAAAAACTGGAGACCCGCAACCCATATCAATGAAATATACCCATGGTTGTTGCTTTAAATCCGCACCAAAAAAAAAACACCACAGATCGGATATCCACATCTTTAAAAGATCTCAATTCTTAGCCATTCTGAGCTGTCTTAGCTTCTATATCTTATTGAATCCCCGCAACTCTCAACCACCCAAAAAATCGAAAACCTCAAGAAGTATCTAAGTAATTATCTCGTTTACGAGTACAACTCCCAAAAACATCCGAAAACACACCCAACCTCCCGCAAGGTCAAGTGTCTCATCAACTTCAAGAGTCTCAGGGCGCGAATGGCCTTGGTTCCTTTGAAGGCACCCACCTGACCCACACCGCTAGAGAGCTCGATAATGTCAAATGGGATGATGGTCAGCAAGTCGACGGGGAACCAGGTGCGCATGTAGTGCTTCGCAATTTTGCTGAGGCTGTCCTCCCATTGAATCCCACGCGCCGTGGTATAGGGGTACATGGTGAAGAATTGGATGACCATGTCCTGGCGGTGTTTTGGATAG